TTTGTTAACACCACTACCTTTCCCCCCACCTTCCCCTCTCCCATGTACCCCCGGAACTGCCAGTCCTGTTGTTTTCTCCTCCAGATTGTTCATCCAGCCTATCGTATTTAGACAGAACTGTGGAGATCATAACATGCACAAAAACAAGACAGAGCAAAACCAAGCACAGTCTCATGCTTTAAGTTCACCATCCTCTTCCAAGTCTCCCAATCCAGGGTGTCGACCTGTACTTTTTGTTCTGATTATCGGGACAAATCACCCAAATTGTAAAAATATTGGTCTGTTCTTGTATTTCTTTATTGGCCACAGTTCAAAACCCAGCATTACAGGGCAAGTAGGATTTATCCTTAATCCAGATGTTTGTAATTTGGGACTACCTGCATAGCAAATTGCCCTGTGTTCACATTTAGCAGGGAAATGTAAATATTGTTTTGTGTATGGACACTATTTTAAAGTAAGTCCTTAACAGTTTACATTGCTAAGAAATAAGGACATTTTCTTATAAGTCCACTATACCTTCATCAATGGGATACAATTGAATTTCAATTCAAAAATATCAATACCCCATTCATATACCCAATGAGTATTCCCTGAGATCTTTTAACAGTTTGTTCAAGTCAGGATCCAAAGAAGAGCCCGTGGTGTGTGGTGGTTCAGTCTCCAAGTCTCTCCTGATTGTGTCTAGAGCCCACTCATTTCTTTTCCCTGCTTGCCACTGACTGCTGGAGGGACCGGTCGGTTCTGGATTTGTCCCCATGCTTCCTCGTGGCATTCCTGGGTCATTTCTTGAGCGTTAGTGACATCATGTCTCAGCTCTGTTTGATTCCACTCTGGCCATTGAAATTCCTAGTTCATATTGAGGACCTGTCTGTATCCAGGTGCCTAAGCCACTTCCTAAGGAACTAAGTCACTCCCAAGGACAGGGCATTATTATTTAGCTCCAGATAAAGCAAAAACTCACTACTGTTAAGTCAATTCCAACTCGGTGACCTTATAGGACAGAGTAGAGCTGTCTCTACAGGTTTCCTAGACTCTGTATCTTTACAGCAGTGGACGGGCTCATCTCTCTCTTGCCAAGCAGCTGGTGAGTTTGAACCACTGACCTTGTGCTTAGCAGCTCCATACATAACACACTGTGCTA